TTATAAACGTGGTTAGTAAGGATAAAGAAATTTATCATGGTTTCTAAGCCATGTGGGCATCAAATTTCAGAATTCAGCAGATAAAATTTTTTCAGATGAATAGTAGCAATAGATCATATTACGGCACGAGTGATTGGTTTTAGGGGCGCGGGGAAGGTATATGAAATCGATATGTTGTCTCCCGGGGTGTTGGTATTTTCTTAGGGGAAAGGCAAATATTTCTTTATGACAAAGGGGCGGATGATTCATTCCCCACAGGCAATTGTGAATAGTGATAACTTTTTTTTTTCAATTTGCAGAGGGTGAGGTTCTTTTATGACAGGAAGGAATGTAATGGCTTTCTGAATTTATGAATAAGTATTCGAAGGTTCTGATTGGTCAGCCGGTTTCAGTAGTTAATTCTGATTGGTCAGTAGGATTAGGAAAGTATGATTAATCGATATTTCTTTAGTGTATTGTTGCTCGGGCCGGCAAATTGATACTTTGCAGGCGAAATATTATCTTCAAAGCCGTGGACTACAGGTGGCGTTTGACTCGTCGGTGGATTGCGTTACATAAATGGCAACGTCCGGAACATATATTTAGGTGAGCAGCGGGGCGGGCGGGGCAGGGGACCCGGGGCGACAGGACGACTAATAGAGTTGGCTCGGGCTTATGGGCTCTATAATTAAGACAAAATTAGTAGTGGTTTGTTAGCGGGGAATATATATGGTACAAAACGAAACAATTTAGGGGATATGAAAACAGACCTATAGGCAGCGGTGACATGCGGCAGAGGGAGCCGTTTTAGGGTTAAGATAAAGAAACCTAGGAAGGCGGCTTGATGACCGGGGATATATTAGAAAGGTCGGCTCGAGCGCCGTCATCATCATCTGTTTCATGGGAGGGAAGATCGACCGCTCATGGATGGTTTTAGCTGTAGTAAAAAGGAGAACGTACGACAGAATGATGGGTGTCTGGTCATCGTGTTGAGGACCGAAGAAAATGAGCATAATTGGCAGACTATCTGACTTTATAAATAAATATGCGAAGGCTCTGATTGATAGGGGTGGTTTGTTAGCGGGGGATATGTATGGTACAAAACGAAACAATTTAGAGGATATGAAAACAGACCTATAGGCGGCAGTGACATGCATTAGTGTTAAGGACCGAAGAAAAGAGGCATAATTGGCAGACTATCTGACTTTATAAATAAATATGAAGCTATCTTACAAACTATTCGTCCCTTCTAAAGGCTGTCTGATCGACGGTTGTCAACTGACTGTCCGAGCTACTAGCTGTATTTTGAGACTAGGACGCAGCAACCTTTGGTTGGGACACAGCCCCTGCGACCTCGTCTCAAAATAGAGCTAGTAGGTCGGACAGCCAGTTGACAACCATTGATCAGACAGCCTTCAGAAGGGAGGAATAGTTTGTAAGATAGCTTCTGTGACGGCTAGTTGATAAAACTTGTACGTGTACAAAACTCATGGCGCCTCTGGCAGTCGCTCGGAAGAAACAGATAGTCGCCGCGCTAATGGAAGGGACGTCTCAAAGATTCGACAGGAAACCATTTCAAAATCATTCTTTTAGTTTGTGAAAACTCGTTTAGTACTTTATGGTGCAAACAGACATGTATGAGTATAGGAATCAGTTTCGTCAGACAGCTAGTTCAATAGCCGATTATTGACTAGAGGTGCAAAATAGTCTCCATGAAGAATAGTCGTCAAGACTTGTAACTGTCTTGTCACTTGTGAGCAACTAAGCAGATGGCCCTCAGAAACAGCCGATCAGACCACTAGCTGAGCGGCCGACTTATAGGTCAGACGGCCAGACTGTTTTTCTAAATCATCCCTTTCACTTTGTGAAAATTCGCAGTCATGTATGGTACCGCCATGGAGGCGACTATAGGAAACAGTTTCGTTGGACAGTCCGTCCCTGGGACACGTAGTTTATTTGCCGGAGACGACTGCCTTCTTGAAGAGCCATCGAAAAGCTTTGTGTTTTTACAGTAAGACAACTTTTCCTGTAACACAACCTGGTAGGCGATCCGGGTAACAGGATTGGACATCTAGTTTTAAGGGCGACTAGTTGGTTTCCGCGTTTGTACTAATACAATAGAACGAAAAGACATTGTGCCTCTTAAAGTGGTCGAGTGGTAAAAGATGTCGATCGCTTTAAGGTGTATCAAGAAAAGTGGGACTGTTTTGAAGCCCTTTGATATGCCCAGTGAAACAAAACATGTTAGTAAGAATAGCGATAATTTTGTAACAGTGTCACTTTTGTATTTTGTAAAATTCGCCCTGTTTTTCTTAAAAGTCGCCTTTTGTTGTATAAAAAGTCGCCTCGTGCTTCATCA